GGAAGAGCTGAAAAATTCAACAGGAGGCAGCTTGAAATTTAACAACTTTAGGGAGATGTTACCACTTCTAAGAAAAGGGGAACCAAGCTATGCCCATGTCCAGAAACTATAGCCATTTGGTGCTCATTGAAACACTGTGGGGACTGCAGAGCAGGTGGTGAAATTACTCCGGGGAGGGATTGTCCAGTGAGAGATGGAGACAAAAAGGAGACACTACTCACATGGAATGAGAAAGGAAGAAATTGTGTAGTTCTGTTCTTCTGCTCTTAGGAAGCCTTCTGCCAGTGGCTCTCATTGGCTTCACCCAACAAGAAGCTCTCTAGCAGGAAATCCTAGGTAATTCTGACTTCTACAGGGGTTAGTCCATTGGCAATATGGAATATAGTAGCAGAGAGTAAAGAGTTTCTAAGCTCTTACTTTTAAGCCCACTGCACTAAATCTTTCCATAAATCCCTTAGTGACTAAACGCAACACCTACATCCATGGCAAAGTGAAAGAAATCCAATCTGTAGAACTCTTTATCTTTCAATATGTTAGGATCCTGTTTTATAATATTCCAAGCAATTGGATTTTGGTTTTGAATGTCATGATGTGCCTGAGGCATAAGCAGAGAAAAACCATCCTATTTTGCAGATGACAAACCTGGACTCCCAAGGTTAACAACTTCCTTAAGGTTCAGACTATAGGACAATGGACAAACAAGGCCTTCTGGGAACTTGTCTTTTTGTTCCTGCTCACTGATTTTCATGAAGTTCCTCTGAGACAGTCATTAAAAATTTTTAAATCTAGTTCACCCAGAACAAATGTTTATTTTACTTGTAGGTGAATATCTCAAAACACCTTTAATAAGAAAATTTACATAATACTCAACCTTAAAATTTTAATTATAGATCCATGCATGCACTTTTATCTTCTAAGTTAAAGGGAAACTTTTAAAATCTGCTGCAATGTCTATAAAACAATAAGCCACTCAGTTTGAATAGAGGATTGTGTGGTGGAGAATATAGCTGTGATTAATTAAAAGTAGTAGTAATAGTAACAATAGTAATGATGATAGCAATGATAATTATATTTAATTCTTAGAGTGGGCAAGCACATTTGCATTTTCCCTGAATTTTCTAAGTCAGTGTTCATTATCCCCATTTAACGAATTAGGAAACTGAGGCATAGATAATTAACTTTCCCATTTGTCATATGACTACAAACTGATTAAGCCAAGATTTAGAACCACCATGTTCATTTTATTGCTAAGACTTTTAACTACTCTCTCTCCTTCCTTTCTTCTCTCTTTTGCAATGTCAATATAGCTAGAAAGAATTCCTGCAAATAAAAACTGAAATGAGATGAACATTAAAGTAAAAAAAAAAAAATTCTTGAATTCACCTTGGGTGGTCTCATAGTTCAAAACCAATTTTCTGTCTAAAATACCATATGTAAGTACCAAGTACATATTACAATAACATCAAATTAGGTATGAATATGAATCATTTCTTTCTTGACTGGAGATACAATCTTCTGGGAATTTAGCACTTTGTATTCTTCATAGAAAACACACACACACACACACGAACCTACAAAGTCATCTTCTTTATAGGCTAGTGGTCACAGTGTTTTAAATTTCTTCACACACCATGATCACCACACAAACAATTCCCTGTGGGATACACCACTGTAAATGGAATTCAACAGGAAAAAAGGGTGTGTGAAGGCTATTGTATTTTTGAATTTATACTGCTGAGGTCTGGAGTTATCCCAGGAGTACATTTCACAGTGGTAGGCAAATCTGGTCAAGGTCATGGTTCCTAGTGTGAATGACACTTTGGTAAAACCCAAAGTTTTTAACATATTACCTTTGGAGAAGTGAAACCAGTCTTTTCTATGACCATGGTTAAGAAGGGGAAAAAAGAAAGCAGTAATTGTGAATTTCATGTTTAGATAATGGCCATAGTGTTGTCAGTGTTAGTCATAGTCAGTAAAAATTTTTCTTTTTAATCTTATATCCTCACAAAACTTGGGAAGTATCCATTCATGTTCAATTCATTTTTTAGGTAAAAAATTAACTTTTACTATGAATATAATTTTACAGAAAATTAGATGGCATGAGGGTATATCAAAAAAATCTGGCTTCAAATTAAGCATCGCCCTTTTACTACCTTTTACTATAAAGTCTCTCACTTAACTTGATATTTTTTTCAGCGATTTTGGAAAATCATAGCATACTTTGCAGGTTATACTTTTTGGTATTTTATAGGTTATTTTAGACTCACTGCAACATCCTGCATGTTACTTTGTTGTTGACAGCAGCTTTCTTGAGGTATAATTGGTAAACAAAAAATACATGTTTCATGCACATAATTTGATGGGTTTGAAAATATACATACAACTACAAAGCCTTTCAAAATATGTCTCCCCTTATAGCTACCCATTTTATAAGCAATCATGAGTGAAGAGTAGCTTCCAAGATCATTTAAATTGCTAAGTTAAAGTAAGTGATTTTAATTATACATTCATTAAAAGTTTTATATTTTGTGTTTATAAGCCTATATATTTATCCTCTGATGTTGCTTCATCACAAGTATTTGTTTAAAAGTTGAATCCTCTTTAAAAAGGAATTGAATTCAGAAATCATAACTAGGTATTCTCATTTTAGTAATGCTTATGCTATGAATTAAAAAATTAATAGATGATAGACAAGCTCACTTTTTAAAACACAAATACCATCTTCCAAACTAAGAACCACATGGCTGAATTGTAGCTTACATTGCTCTTTTCATTACAGGTTTGGCTTAAGTAAAGAGAGGAAGGAAAGAAGGGATAGTTTTTGTACCCTAGGAAATTTCTAACAAAAGCAGAATTTAGGAGTTGTTTTTACCACAGAAGATGAGAATCTGAAGGCTAGAAACTATGTATGGTACTTGCTAAAAAGAGCAGTGTAGCAGAGTCACACACACAAGATTTCTACAAGGATGAATTTTAATGGCTTTGTAGTACCAGCAACTATGCTGTATCATTAGAAATTCTCTTCTGCTTTCATAGCAAAAGTTAGTGATGCTAACTTTGGCTTCTTCCTAACTAGTAATCTGGGTTTACTTGCTATATGCAGTGCATATTATTAGTTTGATTCTAGCATAGAATATTCTTGTTGACTAAGAAATACCAGATTATGTATTTTCAAGAAATTGGAGTTCCAACACAAGCAATCATGTTAAAAGTACCAGTGTTTGATTTGTATCATATAAATATACTGACACAAAACAAAATGTATGGAGACATATGTCATTCCTCTTTTCAGAAAAATCAGTTATTTTCAAATTCTTCTCTTCTCTTTTGTTGTGGACTATATCTCGGTGCCTCCTTCCAAGTCTGTTAGATGGGGCTTTGGGGAAGTCACCAGATCATGAGTGTGGGATACTCATCACTGGACTAATCCACTGATAGGTTACAGCTGGGTGTGATGTTAGGAGGTAAAGTCTTCTGGGAAGAAGTGGGTGACTGGGTGTCACTCCTCTCCCTGGCTGCTTCATGGCTGCCATGCAGTCCTGCCTTGGAACCAGCCAACTATGGCCTGAAACCTCTCCTTTAACTTCAGGGCACTGGATATTTTGTCCAAGCAACAAGAAATTATGCTTCTGACTCGCAAAACTGTTTTATATTTTGCATAGAAGAAAATTGTGTTCTTTTGCAATAATTGTCCACATTTACCACACAGTAGGCTATTGAATTAATGTACTATGGTGCTTTACATCCCTTCATTAAATATTGAAATTATTTGAGGCTTTTGTGTTTTACTCTTTTGGTTAATGCAAATCTTTATTCCTAAAGTACATTTATCTTCTTTTGAATATATTATTAGGAAAAAGCACTAGTAAGATTATTAAGTCAATGGAGATAAGCACTCATATCTATTGTAAAAATTGTGTTTGATAGACATTCCCAGCAACAGTGTACTTATGTACTGAGTTTATCACTCTTTCTGACATTGGGATTTATTTGTTAATTTAATTGGTGCCAATTGTACCTTCATGATTTAATGTTTTTGCTTAAAAGTTAACTTTTTTTCTTTTTTGTAAAATTATTTTTTCGGGGGCTAGGGATTTAGCTCAGCGGCACAAGCACCTGCCTTGCAAGCAGGCGGTCATGAGTTCGATCCCTGGTATCGATTTTAAAAAATTTATATTTTTCTTTTCTCGTCTTTAAACTTCCTGTTCTTATTTCTCTGACCATGTATCAGTGGTTTAGCCCACTATACTGAATTTGATAGTGAAACTCTAATTAGTTATTATCTAACTATTTAGAAAGCTCCTGATTAGAGAAGTGTAATAGAAATTTCAGAACAACATCATTCTAGATACAGCTATCATTGGCTGGCTTCTTTCTTTGAAATATGATAAAGTGATGAAAACTTAACTGTCAAAGACAAAGACCAAACCATAGGTGCTTTGGTTTCACAAGATTTTTGTATTTTGACTTAGGATATTTTTAAAGTATTATATTATTCTACAGAAAATTTCATAGCTAACATTGTCCTTTTGTTGTTCAATATTTTCTATATGCAGGGTTAGTTGAATGCCAGTAGATGGCACTAATTACATAAACAATTCAACAAGTTAATAAAAGGAGAAATGCATGATTTTTTTCTTCCTTTTCAAATTTTGTTGTATGTCACATACTCAACAACTATGTAGGAGCTTGTTTTAATGCCATTGTCTCTCCTATGATAAGAACAATTAAGCTTACTTTATTTCCAATTAATTACTACTAAATTAAAATGCTTGAAATTGCTTACTGTTCTGGATGCTGCATTTAAAAAGTTTTGTCATGGAAAATGAGTTAGATTATACTGTCATGGTTGACTAAATTACACAGTAGGTTAAAAGCTACCTTGTAGACATGTTTTGACCTAAGGATTCAGAAGCTATTAATGAAGCATTTGAAGAAACTCCAGCTAGAGTTTTCAGAGAAAAACTGACATATATTTTCTCTCTCATCCACATCTGTAGCAATTGGCCAAAGACCTCCGCCAGTGGCAGATCAATGTAGATGTGGCAAATGACTTGGCACTGAAACTTCTCCGGGATTATTCTACAGATGACACCAGAAAGGTACACATGATGACAGAGAACATCAATGCCTCCTGGGGAAACATCCATAAAAGGTAGGAATTTCATTGTTTCTAAAACTGTTGTTGGCTTATAATCAAGGAGTAGTAAAACCAGGTGGACAATGCAGGACAATTTGCTTTCCCAATCCTGCTGTGATGGGGATTCAGAGGATTCGAAATGATGAATTTCAGCACAACTTGCGGGCTTTTCTCAGGATCCTATTATAATGAGGGGGAACCTGAGGTCGAGTGAAATGAAATGATTTACCCTCAGTCCCAGAGGTAGTGACAGACCAGAGATTAAATAAAAACAAAATGCTGATTTCCAGCTAGAAGAACCATTTATCAGTGTGCTCTGAGACCTCTATTCAAAGAAATATCTTTCTATCCTTTCATGGCACATGCTGCCTCAGCCTTCATCTGACAAATTCCTTTGTACTAGAGATACAGCTACCCATGTTTCTGCTATTACATCTCTACATATTACACTCACCCATATATTAATAGTACATTATGCCTACAGTATCCAATGGGGAAATTTATGTGTATAACATGACTCATAGCTTCATTTTCCATTCTATACCTATGGACCTGAAGAGTCTTAGATACCAGCTCCTTAAACTATATCTTATCTTAGTCTTATCAATTCTTTTAACCCTTATATTTATTCCAACTATAAATACATGAGTCATGTAACTGTTTCCTGATTGTCTTGCAGATTAGTCTAAACTCCATGAGGGCAGAGACTGTGTCTTTCTTCTTTGACACATATCCAGAACCTAAACCAGGCAATATAATAGTAAACTGGTATATATTTGCTGAATGTTGACTCCCTTTGCATGATATAGAATTACATTCTGCATGCTGTGATAAGTTAAGGGTTGTTAGGTCTTTATTTTGAGTTCTGTCCAAAAAACTGGAGCAAAAATAGTCCATGTTCATGATAAAAAAGACACTGTTGAAGATGAGTTCCATATGATATGAATTACTGAGAAAGTCAGTTAGGTGATCTTTATTAAGAGGAGAATGGTACCACTGAGGTAAAAAAAACATTTTTAAACTAAAAGCAGGATACCATAGGCATAATGTACTATTAATATATGGAAATTAAGCAACCAGGTAAATCTTGAATCAGAGCTAGTGACTGAATAGTGAAAACTCCTGTGAATGTGCCTTAAATTGGTGACCCTACAGCACAGCTCTAGTCCTGAGTGCCAGATACTGTGTGTCCAGATGGCCATGGATAAGACCAATCAACCTGAAATTGGACAGTTATATCCGGGGCCGACTCAAAGGGACCCTACTGGAAAAAGGGAAATCTCAATAGGAGATAGATTTTTAGGGGAAAATTTCAGTCACCTCTTTTTCTCAGTGGCAAGATTTGGCCACTCTTCTCCACATACAGATCTAGTATCTGTTCAGTTGAATGGGAGCAGATGATTAGACTCACGATGAATTAGCCACCTGTGATCAATTGGTATTGGAGAGTTCATCATTACATCTCGGTGGGAAATACATGCTTTGCAAACAGAAGCCTTTTTAGGAAAGCAAATTAAAAGACTAATTTAGTGAATTTAAGGAATGTGAACTAAGCATGGTACAGAAGTAGAGCTTCAAGGGATTGGTCTATTGATACTGGTCTTCTCTTGCAGACACCTCTCCCACATCTCATGCTCTTTGATGACTTGCACAACTCTCTAATTATTTTATCACATTGTTAAAGTCTTTGGCTTCTTCAGGAGAAGGACTTCCATCTTACGTTTTCTGGCTGCTTCTCTAAAAACCATCAAACAACAAAGCTATATAGTTATATCCATAATGGGTAAAATGAACTAGGATTTTAGAAACCAGCTTATAATTTTAGCTGATCCATATAGAATCTGCATTAACCCAGTACCTTTTCATTCATGTCTGGAAGGTTCTTCTTGTTCCCTTGTCACTTTCTATATACTCTTTGTGAAAATTCATCTACTTGTGTATTTTCATTCTGTGAATCATCATGTATTTGTATTTCTAGCTGAGTTATATTCTTTTGGATATTACACCTGTATGACTTACTGCTCTATTTCCAGTTTAATTTCTCACAAGAACTTCACATCGAGTACATGCAAAATTGAACTCATATTTGCCCTCTTCCAATCTTTTTCTCCAAATGCAACCAACTTCTCTTTCTGTGGTCCCTAATTGGTGAATACTACAACAGCTTTCTAGTTGATCTCCTTGGGAAGCTGAAAGTCTCACTTAATTCTTTCTTCTACAACTCCCATAGCTAAGCTATAGTAAATCTATTTACTGCCTAAATAACTCTCAAATCTAGTTCCTTTACCCCATTCCTATTCCTCTACTCTAGTGTCTGTGTGAACAAGTACAGCATTTACTTTATTGGCCTTTCTTCTTCTAGTCTTCCTGCTTCTACTCACTTCCCTAATAGAATTCAAAATGAATTTTCTAAATGTAATATGATTGTGTAGCTTACCCCTCCCATCTTTGATGTCATCAGTACCTTACCCATTGTTTTAAAAAGGATTTCAGTATTCTTTTGAGTAGCTTCAAGGTCTTGTGTGATTTGGCCTTCTCTTTACAACTCTAGCCTAATTTCCTACTCTCCCTCTTTTCCTCAACACAATTGAGCAAGTGAATTTTTTGTTTCATCTTAATTACATTCTATATTCTCTACCTCTTGGTGACATGGTATATATTATTCTGTCTTTTTTGCTTGCCTAAATTCTATTACTCATCCAGATCTCAGTTTAAATTCCAATTCCTCCAAGAAGCTATCTCTACCAATTTTAAAACTTCATGCTCCTTTGGCCCCCTGTTGTACGAGTCACTTTTCTGTTGCTGAGGCTAAGTACCTGACATATCCAATTTAAAGGACAAAAAGTTTATTTTGGTCCACAGTTTCAGGATTTCGGTCCGTGGTTAGCTGGCTCCAAGGTAAATATTTCATGGAAGAAGGCATGGCAGAAGAACCTGCTTAGCTTATAGAATCTAACAAGCAGAGAGCAGAAGAGGAGCTGCAGAGAAGGAGCCAGGAACCGGGTATGGCCAACATGACCCACCCAGACACACCCAGCAGTGTACCTTACTAACCTCTCAGGCATCCCTCAAACTAATCCAATTGACAACTAAGAAGGAATGAGGAAGAAGAGATAAGGGAGAAGGAGGGAGAGGAGAGAAAGAGGATAGAAAAAATGATGAAAATAGAGCTTTTGCAGATAGCAAGGGGATCAACAGTTGGAAATAATAGGGAATGAGGGGAAGGATAGGGAACAAAAGACAAAAAAAAGAGAGAGAAAAGAATTAAGATATATTATTTACATGTAGTGATAATTTTAATCATTATGTACTGCAAACATTTACTAATAAAAATAAATTGATTAATTTAAGAAAGGATACTTACACTAATTATAGTGTTTATCTTAGTATACTGCACCTAATATTTGCTGGTCAATTTTGCCAGTTAATAGAGAATATCTGCCACAAAAGACATTTAAAGACAAACTGGTGTGCTATAGATGGATTGCATTAAGTTTCCTAAAGAAATAACCTTTCAAATCTTTTACTGTTAGAATAAGATTATAATAACAATGACTTACTCAGGCTTGATGGTTTCTCTGGTCAGTGAGAGATCATAAAAAGAGTTGGATGCTTTACAGGCTAATGATAACTTTAGGTATTAAAAATCAACATTCTATGTCTGCTACATATATACATTGCACATGTTCTGCTTTGTCTACAGCTTCTCTTATTTTACACTCTTATCAACCATTTTCTAGATCCGTAAAGAAAACTCTGTAAGATCTTTTGAATCTTGAGCTTTTGTCTAATATCTTGCCCAACTGGAATAGAAGTAAAATCATCATTATCTATATTTAGGTTGACTTATATGGTAGCCACCAGAAGCCAGAAACATTTTAAGTTTAAAGATGATTAGGTAAAATTCAACATTCAGTTTTTGTTTCATTGGCCACTTTTTTTGTTTTCTGCTTTTTGGGTTTTTTGTAGTGGGAATTGAATTCACAACCTCATGCTTGACAGGCAGTCACTTTTGCCACTGAGCTAAATCCTCAGCCAATTGGCTACCTTTTTAGTGCCTGAGAGCCATATGTAACTATTGGCTTCCCTATTGAATAGGGGAAAATGCAACATCGGTGTCATTGAAGAAACTTTTAGTGACAGTACTACTTTCAAATTATCTGGAACCACCCTCTTCTAAGTGGTTTAGGTTACACTAATAATAATTATGTATATTATTACTTTAAAAAGATACTGCCATATTTTATACATAAATGTTTTCTTGTGGTTCATATGCTTCATTTCTACATCATTTCTTTTCTTTATCCATTCTCTAGTATTGGACTTTAAACTCTGAAATACTACATCTATGGCAGGATGATACTTTCACTTTGTTAATGGTATTAACTCATTTTAAAAAGGACAAAATTGATAATATGGATATTTGTTTTATAGAGAAAATGTATCTCATGGCTTTGAAAATTTTGTGTGGAAAGAATTCTGATTTTATCATTCCTCACATTTCAGGTTAGATAGTGTTTTCCTATTGAACATTAATATATAACCTGGGATGAAACTGCAAATCATATGGTTAAGTCTATGAAAATGTTTCAGTATTTGGAAACCTATTTAAGGCAATAAACACTTCAATTCAGTTTTAAAATGTTGAATGTTAAGCAATGTAAATATAACTTGGAAAAGCTTTACTTCGATATCATACACTCGCGAGTTGTAGTTTCAAAACCTAAACAAAAACAAGAGTAAGCTAATGTTTACTTAGTATTTCAAATGAGTACATAGATGACCTCTGTAAGCAAATGCTTTATTTTCCTGATCACTTTCCATATAGAGTCCATGCTAATACATAAAGCCAAAAATGTGAGCCTCGGCAAGTTCATTTCTTTCTCTTCAATCTCTGTGGGTAGATATGAATTTGTGAAGACGATGATATTAGATATGATATTACAAATTATTGTGAGGGGCCTCTAAGGATTAGATTTCAAGGACTGCCATTTAGCTGATGACTTTATGATAAC